TATGAATCACACTACAATCATATTACAAGGATATCATCATTATCCTATTTTTGTGAGTTTACCAACATTAGTCGCCACATTCTCTATTCTATTAATCCCATAATTCACTACCCATTCATACCTAATGGGTTTACTAGGTTTCATTAACCCACATTATCATTAATAAGTCATCTAACCACTATTAATGAGTATTAACTCTCCCAATAATCGTATTAATTGCAGTTCACATGAAAATAACTCCTTCCAACTAACTCTTAACAAAGTCATCAATGTAGGGTTTGAATACTCAAAACTACTCCTATTATATCCATTTTAGTCAATAGGTTCAGACCCACTCCTATGGATCAAAAATTAATTTTTCAACTCAAACCCTAACATTAATCTTCATAAATATGCAAGTAAAAGGAAGAAAGGAAGCTCATTATACTTACTTTAGGTGTTGGGAAGCTTCAAACTATCCTCAAGGGTCCTAATATGCGTGTCCAAGTAGAGCCAAGTTGTGCTCTTCAATTTCTCCTTTCCTCTTCTTCTATTTTCGCACACAAACATGAATTGATAAAGTCTGATTTTTGGCCATATGCCATGGCACACATAGCCTCCCGCCACGATGCATGGCATAGAAAGGCCCAATGAATGATGGTTTTGCTCTGTGCATTGCGGCGGATTGTTCACATGCCGTGGCATGTGGCACAGCGAGCATTTCTTCTCTTTTCCACTTCTTTTCCTTGCCCGAATGGCCCGTGTTCACCTCGAACCCACATCTAGGGTTGAATTCATAATTTAGACCCATCTGGCCATACATCTCATTAATTCACTAATCATACTTGTTAAAATAATTAATCTAGCATAAATTTCTCGGATGTTACATCAACAACAACTATTCAATCTCGATCATAGTCGTTGGTCTGGTAATGGTCACAGCTGGCGGTCTGGTCTTAGTAATCGCTAGCAGTCCTATATCGATTGACGCTAATCGTGCGTCCTCGGCCGGTGCCGACCGTTTAGTCTTAGTCACAACTAGTCATTCAGTCTCTATCAACATGGGTAGTTCGGTCTTGATTAATGCCATCCGCGTGATCTTGGTCAAAGTTAGTCGTTTGATCCCAGACAGTACCAGTGGTCTAGTCCCGGTCAACGCCAACGATCCTATCCTAGTTGGTGTCAGCATTTCAGTTTGGGTTGTCACCTACAGTCTAGTCCCTATCAACACTAGCAGTCTAGTCCCAATGATGTTGGCAATCGAATCTCAATGGATGTTAGTCGAAGGCAATGATATCAAAGTTGATAAGGTAGTGAAGTTGATGAACGAACACGAAAGAAAAGAGAAGCTTATATTAAAATTTGAAATAATAGGAGTTAAGAAAAGATTTAAAATTACAAAAGGATTAAGGTAGGATTTAGATTTGGATTATCCAAACAATAGATTTGACTCAAATCCAAATCTCCATGCATCCAAATATAGCATTAGAATATTTTTATTAATGATAAGTTTATGTGTAATTCTACTTCATGTATAATAGAAATACTTTTCCATTTTTTTTATTTTTAGTTTGAAAATATACATATAAAACTTAAAAATGGCCAAGAGCATTGCATGGTTCAAATAAATAGTGAAAACAATATTTTTTTAGTGACTGAAAAAAAGAATTTCCGACCAAAGGGATACTGATTCTAATCAAATCAAATATCACTAGACCTATAATGAAATATGATATATTTCTACTAGAATCAGCCGATCAATTGGAAAGTTGCCTTCCTTTATATGTGAAATGCATAGCTTGCCACTTGCATGATATGAAATAGTGCTTCCTAATCCCTATATATAGCTGACATATTGTAGAATATAAACTGCACCAATCCATATATTTCTATATATCCACATACAGAGAGAGAGAGAGCGAGCATAAGCAAACAAGAAGTTTTCTTATAAGATTCCCATTTGTGTTCCCCGACTTCCCCAATGCCTTCTCTTGGCTTTTCTTCAAACTCCATTAATATTCTTCTTCCTTATTAATTTATCTCTTCCTCTTCCCTTTCTTCTTCACTGGTCGTTACACACTACTCTTCTGAGTCTCAAGAAATATATACTGCCAATGCCTCCTCCTGCACCGGGGTTTCTTTTTCCTTCACCTCCAAATCCTACAGAAAGCAAAGAAGGTTTATCAGAAACTTTGGTTTTTGATGCTTCTGTTCTCAAGTATATATCTCAAATACCCTCTCAGTTCATATGGCCTGACCATGAGAAGCCATGCCCGAGCCCACCAGAGCTCCGAGTCCCTCCAATTGACCTGATGGGCTTTCTCTCTGGGGACCCCGCGGCCATGGCCAAGGCATGCTCTCAGGTGAGAGAAGCTTGCAGGAGCCATGGGTTCTTCCTTGTGGTTAACCACGGGGTTGATGCTGGACTCATAGCCCAAGCCCATGAGCTCATGGATAGTTTCTTCTGCATGAAGCTATGTGACAAGCAGAAGGCTCAGAGGAAGCCTGGAGAGCATATTGGCTACGCCAGTAGCTTCACCGGAAGATTCTCCTCCAATCTTCCATGGAAAGAGACGCTGTCTTTCAGGTATTCTGCTGCTGCAGTTGATGACCAGTTCGTTGAAAGAACAGTTGAAGAGTATTTTGTGAACGTTATGGGAGAAGATTTCAGGGAATTCGGGTAATAAATTGAAAGATTTCTTCTTCTTCTTCTTCTTCCAGGTCACTTTATGGACCTAATCTCTACAAAAATATTCAACTGTCGATAATTCTCCTTCTTATTACATGTTGTGTTTGAAATTATTATTTGGTTCAGGAGATTGTACCAAAAATACTGTGAAGCCATGAGCAATGTGTCGCTCGGAATAATGGAGCTTCTGGGAACGAGCCTAGGAGTTGGGTGCAACTACTTCAAAGACTTCTTCAAAGAGAATGATTCCATCATGAGACTGAACTACTACCCTCCATGCCAGAACCCAGACCTTGCTCTTGGTACTGGGCCCCACTGCGACCCCACTTCCCTCACCATTCTTCATCAAGACCAAGTTGGAGGTCTCCACGTGCTTGCCAATCAAACATGGCATTCAGTGGCCCCTAACCCTAATGCTTTCGTCATCAACATCGGCGACACCTTTATGGTATGCTTCTCCTGCTAAACAGAAGGGATGACTGACACGCTAACTCTTGAGAGATTTCTGCTAAATAAACTCAAACATTCAAAGACCAGTTTGTTGGTTTATTCCGATATAGAAAAAAGTACATTTCAATTGCATACCAGATCCTGGACACTTTCAAAATAAGATCTTGCACTTGTGTCTAAGATATGTCAAGTACTCAGTGACATCATTCTTCGAACTAAGCACATGGATACTCTATTATTGATGGAGATAATGAATGATACGTCTCATTTCATAGGAAAGGTTCACCCACTATACATAAAAAAGAAAATAACATTATATTGGCCTGATTATTATTTGACAATTTCAGGCTCTATCAAACGGGATATACAAGAGTTGCTTGCATAGAGCAGTAGTGAACAAAACGAGTGTGAGGAAATCGCTTGCTTTCTTTCTGTGTCCAAGATGGGACAAAGTAGTGGCTCCTCCAGAGCTTCTGGTTGCCGACGAAAATCCAAGAATATATCCAGACTTCACATGGCCAAAACTTCTAGAGTTCACTCAGAGACATTACAGGGCAGACACGAGAACCTTTGATGCTTTCTCGAGGTGGCTACAAGAGAAAAACATATAACTTAGAAGGTGACATCAAATAAAGTTAAAGAGGCTGCTTTCTTCCCATATTAGCTTTATACTTTGGTGGGTCTCACGGGGAAAAAGAAAAGGATAGCAGAAAAACCAAAAAGAGGCCTCTTTCTCTGCAATTACATGTACCTTCCTGTGTCACTGTTTGAAAGAATCCCCCTATAGATATATAGTGCAATTTGTATGAATAAAGGAGAGTGTTTCATGGCATGGGCTCCATATATGTAACTGAATTCACTGAACTCTGGTCATTCTCGTTACTATTGAAAAAAACATGACTATCTGTCTGATGACTTGCGCACTTTCTTGTTGATATTGTAGATACTTATCGGATAATACATGCATCTAGGATTTTCAATATTAAAGATATTCTCTTCATTGTATCCTCATTGGCCTAAATCAGAAACAACAACGCACCGCTTGAAACAACTGAAGGCAAGTTTCCCGCCGCCGACAACTTTATTTGATACCACCCCTCCCGTACGACTACAGTATTTTTGCTTTTTAAAACACATTTAAACAATGTAGAGGAATTATAAAACCTGTCAAACCACTTTTGACAACTAAAAGTCAACGGTAACAATTTGTTCACTCTATGATTAGTGACGGACCGGAAAAATTTATTAGTGGAGGGCAACATTAATGCAAAATATAAATATTAATATTTTTGAATAAAATAGTTTTACAAGTATTAGTTAAAGTAATATATAAATAAATTATATGAGAAGTTTAATATATATATATATATATTAATTTCATTTGCATCATAAAATTAATTTTACAATAAATAAAGGAGTAAATAGGGCAATTGCAATTTTTAAGAGGAGGCAAGTGTAATTTCACAATAAAGTTTGCCAAAATTTTGCTATAATTTAGTGGTTGGGCAATTGTGCCCACTTTGCTCGACCCGAGTACGTCCCTGCGGCCCTGCCTATGGTAAGAATACTTTGAAGTTATGATGGGACTATGGACGGCAATCTCAAAAGACTGCTTAATACATAAAATAGATAATATTTAATAATTTAAGAATTGTTGTGAAATCCTTAAATAATTCAAATTAAATATTTAGATAATATATGTTGTGAAAGGAAGGGGTGACGTTAACCACGCTTTCAACATAATTTTCAAATATTATAAAGCAAAATATTATATTTATACACACACAGATATAGATATTAATTAATTTTTGAATATATTTAAATAAAAAATTAAGATTAAGAAAACAAATAAATAAAAGCATATAAAAAATTAGAAGAAGCAGCTGAGTTAGGGACAGGTCCATTGACATCATGGCATATCGCTATATATTGATTTTGAGAATGTAAATAACCTGAATCCTTCAATCATCCAAGAATTCGTGAACGGAACAAAAGGCTTACTCTGATTCGGGCAGGTTGAACAGAGCAGAGCAATAATGTGGGAACTATAGCTTCCCAAACTCAAATTATTCATTGCAACTCATATTTAAACACATATCGTCATTGTTAGAACCACAGCTGGAGCACAGAAAAAACACACTTATTTATTGGCTGACGATGTCTCCTGAAATACACCTCCTTCAGTTCAGTCCAGCGTGACGGGAGTGAGCAAGGGTTGATTTGAAAAGAAGGCGTGGAGATTAGCAGCGGCAAGTTGGGAGATGTGATTGAAAGACTCGGAAGTGAGAGCAGCAGCATGAGGGGAGAGCACAACATTATCCAAAGAGAAGAGCTGATTGGGAACGAGAGGCTCATTCTCAAACACGTCCAGGCCGGCACCTGCTATCTCCCCACTCACCAGACGCCTCACCAGTTCCTTCTCCTCCACCAGACCCCCTCTTCCTACGTTCACTATCACTCCCTCTCTTCCCAGCGCCTCCATCACTTGCCTGTCCACTATGTGATGCGTCTGCTCTGTCAATGCACAGCACACAACCAGAGCGTCGCTATTAGCTGCCAGCTCCACCGCACTGCCGTAAAATGGGTACGCCACCCATGGTTTCTTGCTTCTTGAATTGTACATTATTTTGCACCCCATGGGTTCGAGCCTCTTCGCCACTTCCATCCCTATTTTTCCCAATCCAATTATCCCGACTCGCTTGCCTCCCACCTGAAACAACCATCTCAAGTCTTCACCGCAACTTCTAAAACATCTTTTTTGATCCCTTTCTAAACCATCCCTTAATTGTACTTTGCTTCCTTTTGGTCTTTTGCAATGAAATCTCGACTCCACTTGACAGATCAAAAGTGCAATTTGTTCTCTCAACGCATGCTTTTTAGGTGAACTGAAGCTCAAGTATTCTTAGGCTTGTGTAACTTTAAAAGGTTATATTAGCAATAGTTGTTGAAATCATCATAAAATTAATTGTTAATGATGATTAAATATCAATTAGTCTCTTCTTCTTTTGTGACATCAATTAGACAGTCCTTTTTCTTTTTTCTTTTTGATAACTCAAGTAGACAGTCTTTAACCTTTATGGCATTGCGAACATCTAAAAAAAGCCGTTTGGTATTTCTCTGCCAACAAACTGTAACATTCTTTTTTCGGCCACACGAGATTACCAATTTGGTTTCGGTGGTGCTCAGCACCAAAAACACTGCCGTTTGGCAGTGTTTTTTTTTTTTTCTTTTTTAAAACCACAAACTGATTATAATAATAATAAATAAATATTATAAAATTATTATTTTAATATTTGATAACCAAATAAATACTAAGATGTTAAAATTAAACCACAATGGTTTAAATAAAAATTTTAATTTGAACATTTCAGAATTGTACTGAAAAATATAAAAAAATGATTTGAAGGGTTTAAAATTAAGGTTCATTCTAGCAAAATAAGCTAGTTTCTTACACAGTAATCAATCAATATTTGAATTCCTATTAAAAAAAGTATCTATATTTAATATTTGATCATGCCTTTAATTATGCAAAATCAATAAAATAATAAAATATTTTTAGCTATAATTCTAATTTTGCAGTACAGTTCTAAACTATTTAAATCAAAATTTATATATGCACTGTTTAAGTCAAATTTTAATGAGTCAAAATATTCAAGTTTAATTTTAACATCTTAATATTTATTTATTTATTAAATATTAAAATAATAATTTTATAATATTTATTTATTATTATTATAATCAGTTTGTGGTTAAAAAAAAAAAACTGCCAAACGGTGCTGAGCACCACGGTCGAAACCGGAGTCCCGAGATTACAAGATGAACTTCACGTTTTTCAAACTCGTTTTATATTCCCGATCCGGCCCAATCACCTTGGCCCATAATGTTCAAAGCAAAAAGTAAAATTCTATTTTACCTACTTCAACTTTGGCAAAAAAAAAAAATATATATATATATATATAAGTAAAATTCTATTTTACTTATTTTTTTTTTACTTTTTTTTTTTTATACATCTGTATCAAGACCGAAATTGCGTCGTTAGACTGGAAAAAAAAAAAAATTAGGTATTCACATTCTAGATTATTCGGGCAATAACGCACAGTTTGGGTGGCAACTTTAAGTTAAAAAAAAGATTACCCGTAAAGCCGGGGGTATATTCCGGAGTTCATCAGATCGAAGCCCTTCCCTGACACGTCGATTAGCGGTAGAAATCCTCATCAGAACATCGAGGAACAACCCGACGGCCAGGTCGGCGACATCGTCGGTGAAGGCTCCTCCGGCGGAGGCGACGCGGACGCCGAGGCGGCGGCACTCGGGCATGTCAATATGATCGGTGCCGATGCTGGTGGTGACGATGAGGCCGAGGGAGGGGAGAGAGCGGAGGACATCGGCGTTGAGGCGCTGCATAGGGTTGCAGAGAATGGCGCGAACGGAAGAGGGATGAATGTTGTGGGAGGAGAGGAATTGGGGAAGAGAAAGGGAAGAGTCGAAGAAGTTGAGGAAGTTGAAAGTGTGAGAGTGTTGGGATTGGAAGTCTCGGAAGATCATCGGAGGACCCAGAACGAGAATGTGTGGCAGATCGGTCGCCATTGATAGGGTTTGACGAGAAGGGAAGAGGGAAGAGAGAGTCAGAATAAGTCAATTGACCTCTTCCTCAACGCTGGTATTTTAGAATCAATATACTAATATAAAATACTCGTTTTAGATCCACAAAATACAGGTAATTTGGTCTTGTTTAATGATTGCACATTTTTATCTCTAATCTTTTTTGAGCAAATTTATCTCTAAGTTTGTTAGTTAATGTGTTTGGGGAATTCTGGGGGGAAAAAAACAGATATAATCTCTTTTTAATAGAAATAAAATTAAAATCTTTGGGTATTTTTTGACCTTTTTGGCACAAAAAAGGAGTCCATTTTATTGATTAAGTATTTTTTGACTTTTAAATATCAAATATATAAGGTGTAAAAAATAGTAAAGAGTAAACACGGACAAGATTTGCCGTGAAAAAATAGATTTTTTTTTTTTTACCAAAAACGTATGCACTCTCAGTCTTTCATAATATGGTTTAAAAAAAAAAAAACAATAGGAAAGGATTCGTCATATCATCTTCACTTCTTCAGTAAATCTTTTGTGCCGTAAACTGATGAGTCCCCCCACCCCCTTTCGGGTTGGGAAAAAAAAATGAGATCTTTTTTTTTTAAAGAAAAAACTGAAAGCTTATTTCATTAAGGGATTTAAATATTGTGATACTTGCTAGTTTCAGCATTTTTTCGTGTGGCCTCCCTTGATCTCTTGAATTTGCAGCTTGTCTTTCTTTTTCGCAAGTTGCACGTACTCGAATGATATTGAAGATCGTTCTCCACAAAATTTATGTCAATAAAGACTCATAAATTTTGTATTAGATTATCTTGTGAAAATACATATATATTATTATTAAAATCTGAATATTAACTCCTTAAATTTTTAAGGAAACTCTAATAAAAAAATATGCTAAGATTTAATAACAAAATATACATGTTTTTATATGACAACATATGACCCAGAATTTATGGGTTCTTATTGAAATAAATTGTCATTCTCCTTTTAAAAAAAAAATTCACCAATACAGTATATATATATATATATATATATTTAGGTGATAAAGAGGGCAGTGCCCAATGTATTATTTAGGTAGAGAGAGTGGGAAATAAATTCCCGTACAATCATTAAGAACAAGATTCCTTACAGAAAGGAGAATGCTATAGTAATAACCAAAGGTATTAAGAGCCTTTTTAGAAGGACAATCAATCACTTGATTCTGAGATATTGGGATGTGAATTGTTCGAACATACCCATTGTGCTTCAAAAGCTTGGAAGTCTCTAATATAACTTGGCTATAAGAAGGAGACACATCCGGATTTGAGCAAAGGACATCAGCAAGAATTTTACAATTAGTTTCCAGCATAATGTCTTTGAAGCCTATATCATGAGCAAGTTGGAGACCTTTAAAGCAAGCCCAAGCCTCTACTTCTAGTGGTGAGCATTGGCCAAGGCTAAATGCAAATCCAGCAATCTATGAGCCATGATGATCTCTTAAAACTCCTCTACATCCAGCTTTAGAGTTCAATTGTGAAACAGCACCATCAACATTAAGTTCAACCCAATCTCTAGGTGGAGTAAACCAAGCCAAAGGAGAAGTCTCACTCAAGCTTGTATTGGAGTGGCACAAGAAAGATTTTCACATTGACATTAACAAAGGTGCAAGGTTTTTCGGTTTACTAAAGTTGGGGTCAAAGATGGAGTTATTTCTCCATTTCCATAAATGCCAAATTGAGACACCCCAGAATATACTCCAATCATCATTATTATAGAGAAAAGTACTTATATTATACTTCAAATTATTGTCAACCTAACCTCCAGGGGGGAATTAAAGAAGGCAGAATAATACCTTACATCAATTACTTGCAGCTAAAAGGATTCTACATAATGATAGTCTCCCAAAATATGCAGGGTGTCCTCTTGATGAGAGTTGCACCAATTACATAAAGGGGAGGAATGAGACCAAGACTGGTGCCATAAATTTATAGGAAGTCTGTCATGAAAAACCATCCATATGAAAAGTCAGATTCTTTCAACACCCTACCATTTCCCAATTAACTTGAAGGTTGAAGAAAAAAAGATGAGGAGGGTTATTTTCAATAAGAAAATAGGCACTCTTAAGGAGAAAAGGCCGTTGATAGAGGCATTCCATGTCATCACATCATGACCAGCTTGAGCAGAAGGAGGAAGCACATTTATTACTTTGAGAATAACATCATTAGGGAGTATATTGGCCAAATTAATAATTCGAAGACCCAAATGCTAACCAAACTGCCACTTTGCTCTGTTCTTCAGCCAAAAAGAGGGGACTAGTGCTTAAGTCTTTCAATTTTATCCCTGGGATCAACCAATAATCATCAAAAAAGGAAACAATCTGACCATTATGTATTTTCCATCTAGTGCCTTCTTTGACTGAATCATTCTGTTGACATATAAAATGCCATAATTGAGAGTCACCAAGTTTAGCATGAAGAAGTTCTTCTTTATTTCGAAGCATGTACTTACTTTAGAGCACCTCAACCCACAGACTCGAGGAGCTTGAGATGAGTTTCCGTACAAGTGTTAGACCTTAAGCAGTATTGACTAAAGCAATTTTCTTGAAGCCAAGTCCACCATACACTTTTGAGAAAGAGACTCTCCAATTAATTAGATGAAAGCCATAAGAATGGGTTTTTTCTAAATAAAATTCCTTTGCAATTTCATTATAAATACTGGTGGGGATTTTGGATACCTGCATAGGATACATGGGAATGGCACTAAGTATCGATTTTGCAAGAGTGATCCATCCTGCGGTTGAAAGGCAGTATGCTTTCCAATTTGAAAGCTTGCTCTTAACTCTCTCAATGATATATTGGAATCTATATAAGTCCTCTATGTGGATCAGTGGGAAAATTGAGATAATGTCCAACTTCTCCAGTTATTTGCATTCCAATAATCGCTTTAATCTTCCCTTTGAATAAGGCGAGCACATTCTTAAAAAAGTAAATGGAAGATTTTTTCAGGTTGACTTTTTGCTCGAAAGCATTGCAGAATAAGTGCAAGCAATTCATCATTACAGCAACTTGTTCCTCGAATGCTTCACCAAGTAATAAAATGTCATCAGCAAACATGAGGTGAGATATAATGGGACTGGTGTTTGTGATAGGGATAGGCTTCTAAGAGCCATCTAGAACTACATCACTGATAATACAAAAAAGCTTGTTCATGCATAAAATAAAGAGAGATAGAGAGATGGGATCTCTTTGTCAAAGACCTCATTTTGGGGAAAAGAAATCAGAATGCAAGCCATTCCACAAAGTACTATAGGAAATTGTAGAGATGTATTGGAAGATTATATTGATAAATTTTAGATCTGGACTTACCTCTTGAAAAAGTAGCATTAGGAAGTCCCACCTAACATGATCAAAAGCTTTCTCCAAATCGGCCTTCATAGCAAAGAATCCTTTTTTCTTTTTATCTTTTTCATGATATGGAGGATTTCTTGGCCAATAATGATATTGTCATGAATTTTCCTTCCTTAGGATGAAACTTGATTGAAAAGGAGAGAGAAGGCTATTCATCAAGCCGTTTAATCTCTAATTTAGAATTTTTGTGATGCATTTGTAATGCACAATACAAAGAGAAATGAGACAAAAATGGTTAACAAGAGTAGGATTATCTCTTTTCAAAATCAATGAGATTAGGGTTTTATCAGCATCATTAATGGGACAGTTTCCTTCAAAGACACCAATTATGAAAGCACAAAATGAAGGGCCAACAGTATCCTAATTTGACTAGAAAAAATTAAGGAAAAGCCATCATATCTTGGTGTTTTGTATGGTCCTATAGAGAAAAGAGCTTTATTAATTTCTTCAATCAAAGGTGGCAAAGCCAAGGAAGTAAAGAAGACAGTCACACATGGTAGAAAACAAGTTCTTGTTAACAAGTAATTAGTGGGGGGTTCTGTCTGTTGGTAGAGTTGCTTGAAAAATGTTGTCACTAAGCTTTGCATATCAAAGTCATTGTCAACCTAATTACCAAGGTTGTCTTTTAGAGCTAAGATACAATTCCTCCTTCTCCTTATCGTGGTTTTGAGATGGTACTAATGGGTGTTTCGGTTTCCCTTGGTAACCCAGTATATGGGAGCTTTTTGGAACTATTTGATTTCCTCCAATTCCAAGATGCCCTGCAAATCACTTTGCAACTCCTTTTCTAGGTTAGTCAAGAATTTAGAATAAGGGTAGGATTTACATTTCTATATACCATTCAATCTGGCCAAAATATACTTTTTCTTGTGTTCAATAAGTCCAAAAAACTTCTTTATTCCAAAGAAGGATGGACTTTTTGAAATTATCAACATTCCAAGAGAGATTATTATAGGGAGACCATTGATCTTTGAGAAATTCACTAAAGGATTTGTGGGAGAGCCATATGGCCTTAAAATAGAAAGGTTTAGGACCTAAATTTTGATCTAATTGCTTATAAGTTGAGATCAGAATAGGTTATGATAAAAAAATGTAGTTTAAGGGAGTATCTTGACTGAGCTGTCAAGGAATGCTGAGAAAGAATGAGTATTTGCAAGCGCCCGGTTAAGTCTTTTTTATAGCCTAGAAAAGTTTGAACAACAAGGTCCTTTCCAAGTGAATTTTATGCTTGAACTACCTAAGTCAGTGAGGGCACAGTCATCTATGTTATTTTGAAACCACTTGAAATGGAAGCGAGATCCCCCGATCCACCAACTTGTTCTAAGCTAAAGGGAATGTTGTTAAAGTCGCCAAAGATTATTCAAGGAGCAGTAATAGTCGATGCTAAGGATCATATTTTTCCTTAAAGGACTTCCTAAAAATTTGAATGTGGCAGCACATAAATTATTGTAACAATGAACAGTGGTTGGTTCTAAGAAGAGCACTGAAGGTGTAAAAATTGGCAATCAATTTAAAGTAGCAAGACTTGTAGAGAGTTGATTTTCCAAGCAACAGAGATACCACCCGAGTAACCAACACTGGGACTTATAATGAAGAAGTCAAAGCCAAGACACTTTAAAAAGAGAAGACAAGTCACTATTGCACCTTGTGTTTGTCGGAGCTATAA